TCTTCATTAGATTCTAAAATCTGTTTTAATAGAATTAATTTATCTATTAATCTCTATTACTTTAACATATATTCATAGAATTATATATCAATAGCGTTTTTGCTTTGCAAATTAAAACATTTCCCATACAGCCGTTCAAACTAGCGATTTTGGGGGCGATTTTGATCCTAGAGAATAGAGTTTAAGAATTTAATTGCAAAGTTTTCAGTACACTGAGATTAGCTCACTAACGTCTGTTCACAAGGATAAGACAAAATCATCTATTATATTTTTGAAAACCGCTTGAAAAATAGCCGCAAAAGTCGAGATTGAGAACAGGAATTTAACGTACATTTTTAACCTTATAACCAAATTTGTGAAACGAAATCCAACTATTAAATCAATTCATTATTCGCTAAATATCATTGGACAGATATATTGACATCCTCARAACTAAGGGGTGCCGAGTAGGACCAAGGTGGTTGGAATGGGACAAGGGGACATGAATTTCTGAAATTTCCACTATAGATTGTCCCATTATTTTGCAGTGTATATATTAATTCCATCTTACACGCAAGTATATCAGAGATCACACAATGTACTTGAATCTTATAATAATCACTAAATTACAAATCAGTAAAACACGTTTCCTCGGTCTTTGCAGAAGCCAAGCTTACTCTGATTAACAACTTTGGCTGAGAGACCCAAATACACGGTGATTGGCAGCTCCTCTTCCACGACCTCAAATCTTGACAGCTTTTCTTTGTTAGGTACCGCTGACCGTGCCATGTTGATCTCATCAATCAAAGCCTTTTCAAATAATTTCACCTGCGCGTGTGAAGGCGGGTTAGGTTTCAGGTCAAACGAGTGGTGGTTTGTAAACGAGATGTAWGGGATCTCGTGCGACCAGGGATTCCAGTTTTGAAGCAGGCTGGGCTCAGAGTGTTGAAAGTGGATGCGAACACCATGCTGGATAACTCGTGGATTGTGATCGGCGTAGCCAGTGATCCTAGAGACAGACAGACGACTTTATTAGACACAAAAGTTTAATATGAACATGCTAAAGTTGGTACTGTGTCAAATAAGCCACAAACGAGTGTACGGAATACATGTAACTCTATAAACAATATTTAAAGTTGCAACTACCCCCTCCCCTCTGCCTCCTCGCCCTATGTAAGGGCATCCCGAGAACTAGAGGATTCCGGATTCCAAGCGCTGGATTCCGGATGTGTTTTTCGGATTTCAAAACTGGATTGCTAGATTCTAGATTCCAAAAACTTGGATTCCGTAATCCAGGATACGGATTCCAGATTCCAAAGCTGTTTTTTTTTCTGGATTCCGGATTCTCTTACATGGGGCAACCCTTCATTATTCAGATGGCCTGATGTGAGATTCAGGCACTACAGCATCCCTGTTGCAGTGAGCTCTCATCATAACGAACACCTATAGGACTGTGCCCGTAATGTGTCGATTGTTGGTAGTATTGGTGTGTTGGTAATACTGTGGTAGAGGTAGGGTTGTCGTACGTATTCCATATATGGTATTAACTAACAAGCGTATAGAGGCCCCTAACAAGCGAATAGAAGCACCTAACAAGCGAATAGCGGCCCCTAAGGAATCCCAATTTACCGGTGCTATTAGCAATGCAAAATACTTTAAATGTCACAAACAATTCGTTGTTTGCCAGCGTAATCTCTCGTGGTCAAGTTAGTTAAGGCGCTTTACAATTGTAGTCGAAGGGTTAGGTTTAGGGAAAAGGACGGGTCAGGCTATAAAATGTTAAATTCATAATTCTAAGTTAAAATTTGATAAGAAAAATTTTAAATAAGTTAAGTAGCTAAAAAGCTCGAATAAGTCGATAAAAAACTGTAGAAAAATATACAAGTGAAAAAAAGTATGGACCCCTGTTCGCTTGTTAGGTGCTTCTATTCGCTTGTTAGGTGCTTCTATTCGCTTGTTAGTTTGTGCCATATATGGAATACGTACTACAAATCCGCCTCCTGTGGTATCTGCAAGGTTATAGTTTATTAATTTTTTCACCACAGGATTCCCAAGGATACTAGGGCATTCTCTGATATCACAACATGCATGCTCCAATGGTTTCAGATCACAATCACTTTGCCGTTTTATGGCACAAGACTCGTACAAAGCACACCAAGAAATATGTTTTATTATATCTTTTCTATGTAAACGTTTTAGTCTAAATACTTCAGACTGTATACTCACAAAATGATGCTACTGTGTTACCTTACAAAAAAATATTTACTTAACATATTCATTACATCATGAAAAATTTACAGAAAACTATTGCCTTCAATATAACAAAACCATACACTCACTAAAACTTTATGTGATAAATATCATTATCAAATATAAAACAAAATGAATAGAAATTAAAAAAACCCATTACATCATGAAAACTTACATAAAACTATTGACTTCACACATTCACTACAACTTTTTGTGATAATTATCATTATCAGATATAAAACAACATGGATATAAATGGWACTTGCTGTATTCTCAAAATGTAAACTCAATATTTTATTGAGGTATTAAAACCTAAAATTCACTACTGTTCAAGAAATTTCTACGAACCAACAATGAAAATTCTAGTTTCATATCAGAACAAAAAACTTATTTCTGTGACTTTCATAAACCCATGAAACAAAGTGTACCTTAAAAAAAGAAGAAAACTATGCCAAATATAAAGTAATGAATTGTATTACACTAAAGTGTGCTTCAAGGGTTTATGAAAATCACTCTATACACTGTAAGTGAAGTAAAGAACTTGTGTATAAAACTTTTAAATAAAGTGCAAATAAACTACCTTGCTCAATATTATTTGGCTATTCAGTCCATTATAAATTACTTTTTATCTTTATTTAAGTATCTACACYGTTTATTAGTATCCAAAGCTTCCCCTGTCTCGATTATACCCCAGTATGCTCCAATTATGAACAATTGGCGATGCCCCGCAGTACACTTGGATCAGTATCGGCTCGTTGCTGAACTCAAGTGAGTCTTCTGCTACACCTGGGTGCAGCTCATTGTGGGCAGCAGTGATTGACGTCACAAGCTCTTGCTGGAATGCATTCAAATCCAGGTATCTGGAAATTTCGTCTTTTAGGTGCAGAGCTTTGTGCCAAGCAAATGTTACAAATGGCATATCTCGGCACCAMGGGTTCCAGTTCTGCATGAASGASGGTTGATTATTTTTGTTGATGTAAACTCGAAGGCCAGTTTGGAAATGACGTGGTCTGAAACCAAGAGAAAATGAAGTCAAAGAAGGAATCTGTTTAGGCTTTTAACAGTTTAAATCGATTTTCTTAACATTGTACGAGTAAATCAAGACTCATGTTTATTTGCGTTGTTGTGGTGTTGGTAGGTTAAAAATTGTTGGTAAAGAAGAGTCTTTAAATGAAATACAGCAAGGAAAGGCAAACTCTTAACTTTTGAAGCTGGTAAAACACACAACACCTTTTCTTCAATGAGGAAAATATCAAAACCAGACTTAAAACACTGGTTGTTGCATGCCAATAGGAAAATATGGTCTWATACAAGGAATTCCTTCTCTTGACTCATTTTCTCTTGTCAGATATCCAAACCATTGAGCTGGCAAAAAACTGACTTCATTTGTTACAACAACAATATGTGATGCAAACCATCCAAGATCGAAAGTTGAATATCTTTCAGTATTAGATATTTTATCTTTCACATGCTATTAGACATGCAAAGAAACTGGAGAATAGACTAGATAAGGATCATTTTTTATGATGATAATGATGAACTGGGAGAACTGGAGCTCATGTCCCGCCGAACAGACAGTCATTATAACAAAAATTCTTCATTTAACATTATGACAATATTAAAATGTTATCGTATGCAGGATTCATTGTTATTATGACAATAGTTCTTCAACAAAAGAACTACAAAGAATGTGATCCTGAAGATGGCCCGATAATTTAGGCTTAAAAGCAAATGCAACCCATGAGACAAAACAATATTCTAAGCAAATATCTTTGTCCCCTAGATTGAGCTGCAAGCAGCTAAGAAATCAGCTGAGAAAGTTTGGACATTACAAAGATAATATGAAAACATTTTAAATAACTACTACAGTGCCACACATCCTGGTCCATTGCCACCTAAGCAAAGTT